CATCCACAAATAACTTCACTTAAGATTGAAGACCACTAACACAAGAAACTATTTACAATGGGCCTCTCTTTTACTATATAAAATTTTATATTACACTAGGTAGGTTAGAGCTCGTGGAAACCAGAGATTTATAAGTTAGACAATAAAATTATATTGATAAAATAAAAAGATTTTAAAAGTTCAACACTATAATATGATGAAATATAGAAAATATAAAGCTTTATGAAAGTACACTACAAAATAAGTATGAAACATGACACTCAATGTACACTGATATTGTACTTTAATAAATGAAACTTTAAAAGTAGTATAATAAAATAGTTTTAAATTTGAAGAGTTTTGTTAAAAGAGTCCTAACGTGTGCGTGTATTAATATTAAACGAGATCATGAAAACGCACACTTACATTCAAATGATTTCCTAGATATAGATTCTCTTAAAGTCAATATTGCATGTAAATACAAAATTTGAGGAAAACGAATTAATCATAACTTTCATCGATCAAATGAGAGTTAAAAAAAAACAATTACTTGATAAATTAATATTTTAAAAGTAATCACACGTTTGAATATAAAATTCAAATTTTCAGAAAGATTCAGTTTAAACCTATTAACCATATTGAAATCATCATTTTACCCAAGTCAACTAAACCCTTAAAATAATCACTCCATAAAATACATATTAAAATAACATTGGAACGTTTTAAAATAAAATTACAAAAATAAATAAGAAAAACTCCCTTTGTTTATTTTATCAGGTTACTTAGATTTGAAACAATCCATCACCCAGTTTAGCCCAACAGAATACCAAAATTAGACTGGTTGAATAAAACTTAACCAAATAACTTATTAAAAACTCTGACTAAATGGTATGCCATGTTCGTGTTTATCTTTCATTTATCTGTTGTTGTAGTCAAAATCGACATAAACAAATAAAATACTCTCTTTGGGTTTTAAACTTCAAATTGATAACATATTTTGATAATTACATTTTTCTTAAATAAATTAAATGGGAATGAAGAGGAAGGATATTAGAAAATATAGTTAATACTTTAGAAATGTGTTACTTGAAATATAGAGATTTTTATTTATTAGTTTAGCCTAAAAGAATACCAAGCTTAGCCCAATTAAATAAAAACTTAGCACAATAGAAACTTGTTTAGCTAAGGGTTACTTATGAATTTTCATGGTTTTGTCAGTTTTACCCAAAATTGAATTTTATGTCTGTTTTTACCCTCATATTTTCCAAAAAATATTTGGTATTACCCTTTTACCGATGATAACAGGTTTTTCAGATTAACATTATATTAACTTCGCAAAAAAACCCTTCAGTTTACAGTTCTTTTACGTTTTCACCCTTAAGTTTATAATTTTTTATACTTTTACCCAAAAAAAAATTCATATTATAGGGTAAATTACATGGATGGTTGATGTGATTTGAGGTAGTTTGCGTGCTTGGTCCCTAAATCTTTTTTAATTCGGACCGTTCCTATTATATATTTTCGTTACGCTCTTGGTACCTATCATACTTAAAAGACTTTATTGCCCCTTGATATTTCTTTTCCAATTAATTTTATATTTTTGAAATTATTTATTAGTTAAAGAAATTGTTTAATATACACATGGCTCCGACAACCCCACTACACACGCTAGATAATTATCACAAAGACAAACATCTATCCAACACTCTTACTTGTGGGCCGGCATTGTGGCCGTAAACCCAGTCCTACTGGGAGAAAACTCACCTCAAAGTCATGTAGTGTCTGCACTGATCTCGGCATGAAAACCAACTCTCCTCAAATCCTCAATCCATAAACAAAAACTTTTCTAACTTATCAATTTGTACTCGTAACCCTTACAAGGGTCAACTCAAGTCCCAGACAAAGTCAAGGTTAACACCTTGGTCAATGGTCAATCATCCGGTCAAAGTCAACATCTGGTTGACTCGACTCATCGAGTTGGTCCACCAACTCGCCGAGTCCCCATATCTATATAATTCCATAACCCCGTCCCTACTCGTCAAGTCTAGCAAGAACTTGATGAGTTCGTCTTCAACAACACATCAGACTATCTTCAACCGAATCGTCGAGTTCGTACTTGAACTCATCGAGTCCATCATCATCCATAAGAAGGTGTTCAGTATAAGACTCGCCGAGTTCCCCTTGAACTCGTCGAGTCTGTCTTCATGTGGTTGCGACATTGCCTTGAACTCATCAAGTATGTTCATACACTCGCCGAGTTCTATGATTTCCATGTCCCTAATGAGCCTAAACAACTAAGGGACCTTCAATCTTAACTTCTGGTCCATAACAGAAAGGATTTGGTGGAAAATACACCCCGACTCGCCGAGTCCCATGAACGACTCGCTGAGTCCATCTTTGTCCAAAACTATACAGTCGATTATAATGGTTCTTAATGCATTCAAATCATATATTTGGCCTTCTAGGACCCCTTTTATACGTAAAGTTGCAAACTTTATGTTAATGCATGGGTGATTTAGCTCAAAAGGCCCTAAAGGGAGTCTTCAAGATGCATGGGATCTTATGGCAGTAAAGTTTGGCATCTTTATGCCATGAGAGCCCCCTTATGATCCTGATCTGAAGCTATTTCTCCATATAATGCCCCAAACCCGAAGGTGACTTAGATTTTCCCCAAAATGACAAGATTCAAGCGCTAAGGAGGATCTATCAAATGGAAAACCAAGGTTGAAGCTTTTTACCTTATATAAACTGGAAATGGAACACAACCTCTGGATCTACTAGCTTCAATTCGATCTCTAAAGCTCCTTCCTTCTTCTCAAGCTTCACAACCACCAAGAATGCACAAAAATGGCTTAATAACACTCAAACATTGCTAGGGTTTCGGTTTATGGCCTTCTGGAAGTAAGAGGGACGATGGAAGCTGGTTGGGGAGAAGATAAGTTGTTTAAATAGAGTGCAAACCCTAAATTTTAGGGCTTCATCCATGCAACTCCTACTTGTTGAGTCGATTCCCCGACTCGTCGAGTAAGTCACTTAAACTCCCGATGGATATCGAGCTTACTCAACGAGTTGGTCCTCCAACTCACCGAGTCCCAGGGCAAGACATGAAATTACTAGAATTTAAATACGTACCAGGAACCGGGTGTTACAATATATATATATATATATATATATATATATATATATATATATATATATATATATATAACATTAAAAAAATATAAATGCAATGTTTAATTAAACATTTTTTTCATATATAAATACGATTTTTTTTTGCATGAAAACGTATATTATGAAAAAAAACACTTACGATAAAGTGTAAAAAAATATAAACTTAAGGGTAAAAATGTAAAAAAAAAATGGAAACATAAAGGTTTTTTTGCAAAGTTAACGTAATGTTAACCTAGAAAGTCTGTTATCACAAATAAAAGAGTAAAACCGAACATTTTTTTAGAAAATATGAGGGTAAAAACGGACACAAAATTCAACTTTTGGCAAAACCGATAATATCCTGAAAATTTGAAGGTTTTTATGACATTAACCCTTTAGTCAGATAGCCTATTAAAAACCCTGACTCAATTTATGCCCTATTCGTGTTTATGTTTCCTTTTTCTGTTGTTGTAGTCGAAATCATAGGAAAAAAAACATTCTCTTTGGTTTTTAATTTTCAAGTTGATAACATATTTTGATAATTATGTTTTTTTTTAAAATAAATTAAATGAGAATGAAGAGGAAGTTTGACACTTGTCAATCAACTGACAACAACGTGAAAAAAAAAAAAAAAAAAAAAGTCTATGTTTAATGTACCAGTTGAAAAGCTAGCTGTTAGCTGAAAAACTAATTGATAATTGAAAAACTAACTGTTAAATAAAAAAAATTAGTTGATAAAAATATTGTTTGATAAAAGTAGCTGAAGGATATAAAATAACATTAGAACGAATGTATTTATATAATTAATTAAGATGTATAGTTGAAAAAAAAAATTAAGTTCTTAAAATAGTTTTTTTAAAAAGTTAGCTTATAAATTATATTTGAAAATTATTTTTTTATTTATCAAATATAACAATTTAAAAAAACCTCAAAAAATAAAATATGTAAAAAAGTGTCGGTTGACACATAAAGAATTTTTTTTATCAGGTAATACAGATATATAGAGAAAGTGCTACTGGACTTGGGCCATCAACCATTTTTACACCTATTCGACCGGAGCTGCATTTTGTGATGAAAACTCATCTTCACATGTTTTTTTAACGTCGACATGAATTCTTGATGAATCATTTTCGAAAGATATTTTGCATTTTGTAGGGACGGGGACCTAATTTCTCGTAAAGTAATTATGAAAAGACAAAAGTTTCCCTTTTTGTAGCTTCGAGAAAAATAAACAAGGGCATTTGTAGCCACAAGTTTTTTGTTTTGTAAAATGAAACAATTTTCAAACAAGGGCATTTAATATTTATCAAAACGGCTATTTTTTTCTAATAAATAATTATATTTTTGTTACACAAAAAGCTATTATTATTAATTTTTTTCAAACTCTGAATTTTTTTTAATGTTACAACTCTAATTTTGATGGATTAGTCATCAACCAATTTGATATATATATATATATATATATATATATATATATATATATATATATATATATATATATATATATATATATATATATATATATATATCCTAATTCTAATAAATAAGTAGAACTCGGCCACGTGGTATTCTCCCAGCCCCCCAAAATAGAGTTTTCCCGCTCATTTTTTCTTCTATATTTACGTAAATACCATTGAATCCGAAAATTGAATAAAAGTTCAAACTGATGCAATATATCAGAAATTTTAGCTGTCAACTGCATTCAAAATATTCATGCATTAATTTTAAATGAATAAAGATTATGGAAATAATTTGAAAAAATATGTTAATGAATAATCAGATCGAAAATCACGATTAAATTTGAAAGTTTGTTTATTTTGATTGCAAATTCAATATATTGCAATCATTAAATCCCTAAAAATCTGCAGTATTTTTCAGCAAACGTAAATATCATTTATACGGTTATTTTGTTTTTACCATTCTGCTCCATAACAATTCTGCTCCATAGAAACCACAGCAAACGTATTCTTCTTCATTCTTTGTTATTCTGCAACGCTTCAAGAATTAAATATCAGGTTAGTGTATTCAAAAATCAGAATTACCAATATTTCTATTTCCTCCATGTTCTTATTTATCTGTATCTATCACGTTCTCATTGTATGATTTCTATTCTTCTTCTTTTTTGTAATTCTTCTTAATCGTCTACTTCTTCTACCTTTTCAGTTTAAAAGACGAAAAACTAATGAACATTACAAGTTCATTTTCTTTAAAAAAAATTAAAAATAGTCTTTTTCAGATGTGCACAGTAACTTTTTTTTATGGTATGAAATTTTAAAATTTGTTTGTTTTTATCTAAATACAATCTCAAAAAAATTTAGAATTTTAAAATTTATGAGTACATTAAGTCAGTTGTTATTGTCATGTGTTGATTTTTAATTTTTCTGTTTTACTCATTGTTATGTTATCTGTTAGTGTTAGTATGTTGCAGGGGCATTTTCGGTATAATTATCATTTTCATGTTTATTATATATTTGTGTTCCATCTTATTATATAAACTTTTATTCAATCTAAAACATTATTTCATATGAATTATTTGTTTTTGTTTGTATTCCATTTTATTATAAAATGAATTATTCAATTTAAAAATTTATGAGTATATTAAGTCAGTTGTTATTGTCATGTGTTGATTTATAATTTTTCTGTTTTACTTATTGGTTAGGATGTTCTGTACATTTTAAAAGGTTGCTAATTTTCCTTACAATTCTATAATGATTAAATTTATTGCAGAAAATGGAAATAGGAAATAAGGTTTACCTAAATAACATTGACCAGATAGATGAAAAATCGCATATCAAGGTTCGGGTGCTTAAAATTTGGAACTTTGTCAGAAATAATAAAGTTTGTTCCATTGAAATGATCATCATGGATGAGGAGGTTTGTTGTATTTGATATATTTTTTATTCATCATTCAATATTAGACATGTTTCATGAACATAATAATTTTTAATTTTTTTTAGACAGGGTACACAATACCAAGCTCGTGTCTTCAATCAGAATTTCTCCAGATTTCGTCATCTTTTAAAGGAAGATGAAAGTTATATAGTTATAAAACCCAATATGGCTGCTGTTACTAATGGTTTTAGTTATACAGGTCATAAACAGACCTTAACTTTGGATTGGAAAAGCATCCTAAAAAAATGTGATGATTTCTCGGGTCCGGTCAATGGATTTATGTTTGTTGACTTTAATTCTATCATAGAACAAACATGCCCAAAAGACACATTCTTTGGTTAGTCATAAAATATTAATAAAATCATTTTTTATCATTTGTTTTTTTGGTTATACATTTTATTATTTAAATATTACGAATTTAATCCTAAACTTTTTTTTTTGTGGTATCTGTTGTGTAGATGTTATTGGACATATCGTGTCATTTAGGCCTCTTGAAACTTCAAATCCAGTACCATCCAAGCATTATATAAAAGTCACTCTTAGCAACCTAGAGTGAGATTATATTGTATTATTTATTTATTATTTATTATCTTTAATTAATCACAAATTAATATTAATATACTATTTTATGGTTTATTTAGTTTTGTACATCTGAAGGTTACTATTTTTGGAAGTCAAGCATATCAAATTTCAGAATACCTAAAAAATAACCCGACTGTTAATTTTGTTGTTATCGTGATGCAGTTTTTGAAGCTAAACATTTGGAATGGTTTGTATTCAGTCTTTATATATAGATGTTTATAATTACTGTTTTTATATAAATTTTAATAATTGGATATATATTTTTTACAGGTCTTGGTGAAGCTAAAAGTCATTTTGAAGTAACGAAATTGTTCATAAATTCTGACATTTATGAAATAAATGAGTTTAAAAATAAGTTAGTTTCCAATTGTTTTTTATTTTTTTTATAATGTATTTTAACTTAAAAAAAACACAAAACCTAATATTCATGAATCTAAATTAAACATTACAGGTTGAAATGTCATGACAATTTCGGTATAACTGAAAAAAGCATAACTACACTTCAAAGCTACTCTTCTTCATATACAGATGACTTTAAGGGCAATTTTCCATTAAAAACAATCTGTGAGATCACCGAACCAATTAAGGTATATTGCATTATTTTATATGTTTTACATTTTATTTTTGCATAATTTATTTTAATAATTTTTACATTTGATATGATACAGGAAATGAAATTTTTATTAGTTGCTTCCATTGTTAATATAAGGCAGAATCTACCATAGTATTATGAAGCATGCAAAAAATGTGGAAAAAAAATTATCCTTGTTCCCAAAACCAATCATTCGTATACCAACCCTGAGGGAATTTCAGAAACTATGGTTGTCGAGTGTACAAATGCACAATGCAAAAAATCTGAATTTCAGTCAGTTATAAAGTATAGACATATTTATTTCTATTAATTTTGTCAATCTTAAAACAACACTAACAATGACATAATTATTTTTTGTTTTAGGTATATAATTCCAATTAACGTACAAGATTGTACTGGAACCATTGGATTGACTCTTTTTGATAGGGAAGCAAGGAGGTTGTTAAATATAAGTGCCTACGAGTTGAAAAAGATACATGATGCGGTATATTATTCATACCTTTAAAATCAGAAAACATTTACTTAATTTTTTTAATTTATTAAAATATATCTTACAGGCCGGAGACAGTGATGCCCTATTTCCAATGCAACTTAACGTGTTGAAAAACCGCAAGTTTGGTTTTGTTGTAGATATTACAGAATACAATGTCAACAACTATAATAACATCTACACAGTTCTCAGAGTTACAGAAGATATGTCCATTGTTTGTGAATTGGAAAGTAAAATAGAACTTATGGTATGTAATTTTTTATTGTTGAAAATTTACAATTCTTTAATGTTAAAGTACATAACGATTAACATATTTCCATTTTATTTTTTAGAGTATTCAATCTGTCTCCTTAAATCAAGTTGCTTTGGAATCCGATGATGTTGTACAGCCTGTTCAAAAGGTTTTTCATTTTATTTTATAAACTTTTAATTATATTAGTTATTTTTTTTAGGAATCAAACATTTTTTTTTAAAATTAGATGTGATCTCACAAACAGACGAAAGTTTTACACCCTCAACAGTTGATAAGTCAACCGCAACAAGTCCTTGCAAAATATCAGGTGATTTGAAGCGCAACCTCCAAGAAATTTATGATGTTGATTCTGGATATGATTTAAGTTCAACTAAGCTAAAAGAAAGTCAACCGCAGAGGAAACTCCACTCTTGATTCCAAAAATTGAAAAGTGAGTTTCTATCGTTATAAGACACATTTAATATATTTTGATCATTTGTTTTGGTTATAAAGATATTTTAATTGCTTGGTATGATTTTTATTTTGGGGTATTTAGGATGTCAAATATTATTGGTTTTGAATATTTTTGGATACTTTTATTGTTTTAAATTGGACAAGTTAGTTGATTTTGGTTATAACTCAAATAAAATATATTGCCCCTAACTTGATAAGTATTTCATATATCGCAATTAACAATTAAGACAAATCAATCAATCAATCAATTTGTATAATAAAAATGCGAAATTCTTAGCTTTCTTCCCCAATTCGCATTCTACTGTAAAATTCGCATTCTTCATTCACCCTCTTTCTTCGCATGTTCCAGTCATTTTTTTTTAGTTCATTCGCATTTGAGTTGTTTGTCTCACCAAATGCGAAATTAATATTAACCATAATCACCTTCGCATCTTTAACCCCAATCCATACAACCTCATATGCGAAACCCAATTTTGATTTGTATTACCAAATGCGAACATTTTTGCTTTTACACGTGAACTGCATTTGACTCCAATATTGAACAAATCACATTTCACAGTCCTTCTTGACTTCGCATTTTTCTTCACGAATCGTTCCTCAATCAATAACCCAATTAACCCAATTGCGAATCCAAAATCAAAACTTATCTGTTTTCATATGCGAACCCAACTGATTGGCTTTTCAAAATCAAATTCGCAACTCCAAATCGTTCGATTATTCGCTCCAATTCCAAAATCAAATAACAGATCCTTCGTATGATTCATTTAATAACCAAGGCTTCGTTCCAGAAAACATCGAATTTAACAGTTATTCGTTCCCACAATCTTTAACCTCCGTTTAAAATCGATCCCTGTATACAAACCCAATAACCAATCGAACACATACCATTCGAAAACAATAATCATTACACCCTTCAACAGATTTGACATCGCACTTAATCCATCATATTACTGTATTTTTTTTATAATTACGTATTGTTGTATTTTATGTTAATTTCATTACACACAATGGTATTGTATCATCTGCATATGTCCAATTAGAATGATGAATAAAAAAAAAAATAGTTTTCAAAAATCTTCATTCCTAATTAAATACTTCCCATTTAGTTAGTAATTAAATAATTACCAATAAAAAAAATTATTTAAATATTCAATATTACAATTTATAAGTTATGATATAATATTTTATTAAATAATTAATTTTTAAATTCAATTAAAAAACAGCACCCGTGGGTTCCACGGGTTTTAACCTAGTATATATATATATATATATATATATATATATATATATATATATATATATTGGAACGAAAAATTAATTTACTCATAAATTACCACCTATGTCTTCAACGAGACTTGAACAGTTGAACCTCAAGACCTCTTAATTGAAAAAGTCACTCATTACTTATAGACTAAATGACAATTTAACAAAATATAAATTATTTAGTGCATTGTTGTAAAAAATTACATAAATGTGCGAAACTTTACGCTCACACTCTCACAGTATGACTTCTTTTTTTCACTAATGATTATGTCCATAAGGTCTTCCTGTATACACACCACTAGAAGGCCCGTGGTGTGTATACATTTCATCATCTTCTTGTCCACCCTCCTTCCATTCTAAATCTGGTATATACTCACAACGAAAGAATGTGGTCATGGTGGGTTTAAGTTGTAAGAGAGAGGATGAGAAAAGAAAGAGTATGTGGTGGGCAACACAAGAGACCATGCTCGTGGTTCCAGATCAGCACCACGAGAAGCCCGAGATGGTGTGCATAGACAACAACCACCACCGTGGCCATCTGGACAACAAAAGGATTTGTGATATCCATATTGGACGACCTAAGTTTAGATTTTATTGTCATATTATTTCCTTAGAGTTTCTACTTAATGTATTTTTTTTCCTTTAAGTCAATATAATTAAAAATCAAAAATAAAATAGAACCACCAAAACATCCTTTCATTTTATTACTTGATTGGTGATTTTTTTTTTTTATAGAAATGATGAATATCGTTAAAAGCCCCACAACTAGTTTGCTATACGAGGGTGAGAAAAAGCAAGGCTTACAACTACAAATTACAAACAAAGAAAATGAAAACATTGATCAGTCAATTTACATGTGTTGATCTTTTCATATATATTTATATAATGAATACATCAATAAAATTACATCAGCAGTCACGATAATAGGGGACTACATCACATTGTTAGAAAGATTATAATTTCTCGCCTTCATAGGAGACCGCAAAATATAGTTGAGAGGATCATGCGTTATTTGGGCAATTGTCCTATCCTACAACAAAGTTTAGAAACGCAGCCAAGTTTGTAAATGCTTTTGAGGAATTTCACATCATCTAAGGATCCCTTCAATTCTCATTTTTGCAATCTAACACCTAATAAAGACATGGTTGACGCTCTCTTCGCATGTATAACATAAGTAAGAGCATCCATAATGGTGAGTTTAATGGGAGAGTTGAATGAGGTGGCAAGTTCATGTGTCATTCGATGGATGAAACTCAACCATTGTGAGATGTCACATTGGCATTCAATAGATTTGGAGTTTAATGGCCACTAAACTCTTCAATGAGAAAAATGAAAGTTTTAATTATTAAATATTTACTATAAATTGCATTTTGTAACATTCTATTGAATTTTGTAGAGTTCAATGCATTGTAAAGAAAAATATTATAGAGTTGTATGGATTGTAGAATGATGATGTGACAATCCATTGAACTCAATGGAGTTCAATGCATTGTGGATGCCCTAACAGTTTAGTCGTTGAGATTTGAACTCCTTTTTTAGATAGTCTTTGCAACATGACTTCTTCCAAGCTTTGCTTCCAAATGAAACATTACACTTTTAGCACGACAACTTTTAGCCACATGTTTGGATCGTAAAGCAACAATGTTGATCTTCAATCCCCGATACTCGTGGTCACTATCTCAACCTTAATCATAATCTATTTAAGAAAATGTAAGCCCCATTCATTTTGCTCTGATCGTCTACCAGTCAAACTCATTAAGATTGAAGGATCTTACTAAATAATGTCTCTTTCAAAATATTATAATCATTTGAAATAAATAACATCCATATTTATTAGAAAAACTTTTAAAAAAAAAAAAAAGACATTTGTTTATATATATATATATATATATATATATATATATATATATATATATATATATATATATATATATATATATATATATATATTATATATATATATATATATAAGGCTAAGTTAAAATGTACATGACATCTATTATGCGTACGTCTGTGGACAGTGATATTCTATGAAAATGACTAAGAAAATAGGTTGTTTGGAAATGTGAATTCGTTCAACCTTACATAAATATCGTTAGTATCATGCAGTCTCACTAATTTTTATTTATTTTTCACGAATCGTTTTTCATTCATTTTAATTCTTACAGAATACGATTATCAAAAATACATTTTGACAGAATGGAAATCATAAAAAAAATCTACAATATCTTTATAGACGATTTAATTAGTAAAAATGTATGATAATAATAGGTGCAAATTTAATAGCATACATCTAATGGTCAAAACTAACAATATTTATAACTCGAGGGAGCATTAGGACAAGCGATGGTTCTAAACGTGGAGCCTCACAGATACCGAATGCCACAAATTTTTCTATGGCCAAAAAAGCAAAAAATGCTTCACGTATAATTTTATTATAATATAAACCATATGTCAAAGTATCTTTATAATTAGTTGTACATTATACAACAAAAGTTACTATCTTCGCTATTGCCCCGTAATCTTCAAACGCTCTTTCAACAAGTTTACATCGTCGGAGTTCAGGAAAGAACAACCAATAAGATGTCACCAACACAAATGCCACCACCAATGGGGCGGTTATGTGGCGGGGTAAACTCCATTTCACATTAACAAATTTCTTGATTGTTGTCTCCATAACCAACGAGACTCCATGTAGACAAAAGAAAAGCATGGTATCCCACGTTGGCCAATCTCGTGTGAAGTAAAAGAAAATAAGTTCATGCATAAGACCCGAAACTGCAAATGTGGTCAATATTGCAGGTATTGGGGCCCACATATGACCGATGGCCCGAGCTGACATTGTACGGACTGGATTGTAAATGGTTGGATGGAGAATTCGGTTAACCATGATATTCCATCTCCTGCCCCAAAAATCTTGGAGGGAAGTGGACAGATAAGGTTCATCGAACTGGGGGTCGAGTTTGACCCCTAGTAAGAATTCCATTACTATGGAACTGATAGTCATTAGGAGGTCTAAAAAGAAGTAGAGTGAGAACGCAAAGAAGATCCAAGCGATCATGGGGTTCATATGATCACCATGATCATGATACACCTTGAGGAAAGTCGTAAGAAGGAGAGCTTTAATTCCATAGTTAAGAGGAGATCTATGGGTTGGGTTTTTCCCTGGAATGCTCTTTCCAATGGGAAAACAAGCGAGGGAAAGGAATCGGAAGAGGGGAATAGAAGGGGCGGAAAGGGGTCCTGTTTCAAAGGCGAAAAGGATGAGTTTAAAGTTAGCAAGCCAAGAGATGCATAAAGAAAGTGCCCCTATGAGATGAACGGAATTAAACAAGAGTGGAATGGAAAGAAAAAATAGAATGACAGGAAAGATTGTTAAGAGTCTTGGAAAACCTTTTGAAATGATTTTCCCCACGGAGTAGCAATAACCAAGAGAAATTGATGCTAAAAGAGATACCTTCACAAGATTCTTGATATCTTCTTGGAATTCCATGGTGGTAGTTCTTGAATTGAAGTTTGAGGTTGGTGAGAAATGGGTAGATATGTCATAACACTTGGTCAAATTTAGTTGTTATATCCTACATATAAGATATAAATTAATAAATTTTCATATGGAATAAATTATGCATATATATAGAAGGGTATGCATATTTCGAGCTGGTTTCGATTATGAAGTCAACAAATCCGTGATAAAGACAAAGGAAATAAAATGACAGAAAAAGATGGAAATAAAAAAGAAACAAAATATCAAAATCTGATGTGGTTTGTCCCCCAAAAATTATTCACCATAAATGTTTTGTACTCTCACAAAAATATCTCATCTGATTAAAAATGATTATTTTTAACCACAAATATTCGTGTGGTTAGTATATAATGATTATACTTTCCCATATTGTAGAAATTAAAATTTTAATTGTAAACGAAACTAAGGCCATGAATCTTTTGCGGCTTCATTTATTGCTTTGATAAAATTATTATTATCATTATTATTATTATTATTATTGATTAATTTATAAAAGAAAACTTCGTATATGGTCTAAATAAATAGTAAAAATATCATATTTGATCTATTTTACCGAAAAAGTATATGGTTCAAGTCTATATAGCCTTAGAGCCCTATAAAATAAAAAACAATATTTAAAAAAAATTAATATCTTTTTCAGTTAGAGCAGTGAAAATGCTTTGTAAATTGGATGACTTCTTTAATTAGATTTATTTTTCAACTACAATAATTTCATAGGAAAAAAAAAGAAAAAAAAGTAGGTTGTTATTGTTTTATTTGTTCAGGAGACATCACATTTACTGTAGCTTTTGTGGGTGTAAGGGCACTTCACATTGAAAACTACTATCAAAACATGTTGGATCCCATTACAAAGAAAGAAAACAATGTACAAACTACAAACAAGATTTTGTGTAATTTAATTTTGACTTTTTAAATTCTAATAACATCATTTTTATTAGCACTCTTAATTGCTAAATCATATATACATTTTCATATGCACGATTTGACTCAAAACATTTCTAGGTCGTCATGCTTTGGATGATGACGACATGAATCCTTTGAGATGTTCAAACATTGCTTCTTTTCAACAACAGGCAATGACGAACTTTATCTAAATTTGCTCCTAGACTATGTACCTGAGACAACTAAGCAAATTAAAAAATGTCTATGATTTATGTCAAACTATACATGTATTAGGTATATTAAGAATCTTTTTTAGTAAAGAATTATGCAATGTATGTTGTGACTAATGTGATTCCTTGTGGTTTCTCAAATTTGATGTATTTTGTCTTTGACATCTTAAAGTTTAAACTCTGTAAAATGTCTATGATTTAGAAAGCACATAGAAATCCACGGCAACGTGCAAGCGTTTTAACTAGTTAAATATTAAATAAAATGATAAAGAAGGTTAATGTATCTTACGAACCATATACTATGCATATGTCCATGTATTCCTACGCACAATTAAAAATCTTTTGATAAAAAAATATTATTATTGACAAGTTTTTATACCGAATTAATCTAATCTGATACATATTAAAACTAATATAAATATTTTTATAGTTTTTAATTTTTATAACTACTAAAATTATTATTATTATTATTATTATTATTATTATTATTATTATTATTATTATCATTATTATTATTATTATCATTATTATTATTATTATAATAATAATAATAATAATAATAATAATAATAATAATAATAAATATCAATTGATATAATTTGTGTTCTAATACAAAACTTAAGAGGGAGAGTTTTTAAAACGTTGCAAATTGAATATAAGTATTTGATTGTTGAAAAAGAAAAACTTTAAAAAAACCTTATGCATTAAAAGTAATTTCTAAAGGTAAAATTCTCTTGGTAAAACTATAACGTGACAAAATAAATAAAGTCTACGAAAATAAACAATATAAATGCTCTAAGAAAGATATAGAAGACCAGTACAAAATTATATTTATATGGACGTTGACGTTTACTTGCAAATTTAAGAGGGGAAAATGACTTAAAAAGGTAATGAAAATTTAAAAATATACAAAAAAGATCATGATCTCTTTTTTTTACACAAAATACCATTAAAGTATATTTTTTATACACAAAATACCAACGAAGTACACATGTGTTCAAATAAAACCTTGTGGGTAACCGGTTACTGCAGGTAATGGAAAAATGTCTTAAAAATATAACAAAGTTTCAAAAATGTTCAAAAAATACCATTATTTTTTTAGTATAAAAAATACCATTGAAATTTCCAAAATGTTCAAAAAAAAACCATTTTTGTTTTTTCAGAGCACTTTTTGTTAATTTCGTTGTTTCTAGATTATATAGAATACAATCATCAGAGATTAGTTATCATCGTATCAGTTCAACATCAGTTGTGTACTCTCTTTCATTCCATCACTCGATCGGTTTGTATCTAAATCTATCTTTAGAAATTCTCATAATATAATATCACACTCATTTCTGCTTTGTGTCTCTCTTATGTTGCAACACTAATGAACGGCTAACTTTGATGTATAATATGTGCATCTATATAACGTATATATGTTTTAGGTTTGACGCATATAATGTGATCGGGAAGCAAGAATGTTTAACTAATGTTGTTGTGAATGAAAGAGATTTGCATTATTGTTGTGAACTGATATAACGGTTCATGATCTCCGGTGATTGTGTTCTACATAATCCGACAACAACACAGTTAACAAAAAGTATAGTATTTTTTAAACATTTTGGAAACTTCATTACACTTTTAAGTCATTTTTCCGTTTACCTGAAGTACCTGGTTACCACATTGTTTTAGTTGAGCACATGTGTATTTCGTTGGTATTCTGTGTACAAATAGTAACATCATTGGTATTTTTTGTACTAAAAAAACAACAATGGTATTTTTTGAACATTTGGAAACCGGGTAACCTACAATAGCCGGTAAAATTGTATTTTATGTACTAAAAAAAAATAATGGTTTTTTTTTGTACATTTTTTAAACTTCGTTACATTTTCAAATCATTTTTCTATTTAAAAGGTCAAAACTTAACAATATGAATAACTCTAAGGGAGCATTATGACAATAGCTCTAAACGTTTCCAAGTTGTACTTTCTAGAAAATACCGAATGCCGCAAAATTTCCGTGGCCACAAAAGCACTAATGCTTCATGTACAATTTTATTAGAAAAAAAAAAAAGCCATAACTCAAAATATCTTTTATAACTATTTGTACATCATACAACAAAAGTTACCATCTTCGCTATAGCCTCGTAATCTTCAAATGCTCTTTCTGCGATTTTACATCGTCGGAGTTCAGGAAAGAACAACCAATAAGATGTCACCAACACGAATGCAACCACCAATGGGGCGGTTATGTGGCGGGGTAAACTCCATTTAACATTAACAAATTTCTTGATTGTTGTCTCCATAACCAACGAGACTCCATGTAGACAAAAGAAAAGCATGGTATCCCATGTTGGCCTTTCTCGGGTGAAGTAAAAGAAAATAAGTTCATGCATAAGACCCGAGACTGCAAATGTTATCAAGATTGCGGGTATTGGGGCCCACATATGACCGATGGCCCGAGCTAACAGTGTTCGGACTGGATTGTAAATGGTTGGATAGAGAATTCGGTTGACCATGACATTCCACCTCCTCCCCCAAAAATCTTGGAGGGAAGTGGACAGATAAGGCTCGTCGAACTGGGGGTCAAGTTTGACCCCTAGTAAGAATTCCATTACCATGGAACTGATAGTCAGTAGGAGGTCTAAAAAGAAGTAGACTGAGAACGAAAAGAAGAACCAAGCGATCATGGGGTGTATATGATCCCCATGATCATGATAGACCTTAAGGAAAATCGCAAGAAGGAGAGCTTTAATTCCATAGTTGTAAGGGGATTTATGGGTCAGGTTTTTCCTTGGGATGCTCTTTTCGATGGGAAAACAAGCGAGGGAAAGGAATCGGGAGAGGGGAATGGAAGGGGCGGAAAGGGGTCCTGTTTCAAAGGCGAAAAGGATGAGTTTAAAATTAGCAAGCCAAGAGATGCATAAAGAAAGTGCCCCTATGAGATGAACGGAATTAAACAAGAGTGGAATGGAAAGAAAAACTAGAATGACAGGAAGGAATGTTAAGAGTCTTGGAAAACCTTTTGGGATGATTTTACCCATAAAGTAGCAATAACCAAGAGAAATTGATGCTAAAAGAGATACCTTCATAAGATTCTTGATATCTTCTTGGAATTCCATGGTGGTAGTTCTTGAATTGAAGTTTGATGTTGTGGTGAGAAATGGGTAGATATAACACTTGGTCAACTTTAGTTGTTATATTCTATTTGTTAGAAGACATAATAAATTTTGATGTGGAATAAGTTATGCATATATAGAGAGGGTATGCATGTTTGGAGATGGTTTTGATTCTAAACTCAATAAGTACATGATATATACAAATGAAATGAAGTGATAGAAAAAGATGTAAACCAAAAAGAAACAAAATATCAAAAATCTGATGATGTATGATTCAGTTTGTCCCCCTAAAATATTTACCACAAACGTATTATAGAGTATAAAAAATCTTATGGGATAATCGTAATATATGACTATTTTTAACCACAAAATATTCAAGTGCCATGTCGTAAAAAATCAAATTTTTAATTACAAACGAGGCCACAAATCTTTTGGGGTTTCATTTATTTCCTTTGATAAAAAAAATATTATTTATTATTATTAGCACTTGTTGGTTACGGTTATAAATAGATGCTTGCCGACAAATATATGGAACATACTTTCATTTTATTTCCTTTGATAAAAAGAAATTTGATTAATTACTATAGATATATGTTAAGGATTAAAAACGAAGAATTATATAATATAGTAATGTTTGTATTTGAAACATGTCGGATAAAGAATTTTAATAGTATTTAAAAGTGGCATAATGTTGTACATTATAACAAAAACTTCAAAATGCACCGTGTTATACTTAAAAAGTTCAAGGTTGATGTAAGAGTTGAAAATTAGATTTAAGTGTTTTGTTTTTCGTAATTATTATATTTGTGCATGAAATAGAAAGCAAATCAACTTATTTCAAAATAAATGCCGATTTGAAGAAGATGTAAATGAAAAAAAACGTGTCAGGCATTAAAAATGAAAACCCCACGCCCACTGGCACTGCCATTGGTCACTTCTTTCAACTTTGACCCACTTGAGGTGCCCTTTCTAAATTTGGACCAACGGTCTCCTAACACAGGAAATATCTGTATTTGTCAATACAAAACGCTAACATATTAAAATAAGATATTTTTTTCTGTATATCTTAGATGATATCAAATGTAATAAAAATTTATTAATCTTATTAAATATAATAAGTATCACAGTCTTAAATATGTAAAAAGATAATAGAAAAAAAAAAAAAAAAGATATTTGATTTCTCATTAAATAAAATGAACATGAACATTTAAACAATAGTTACTAATAATATATTGTAGTTTTTTTTTTAAAGAGCAATAATGAATTGTAGTTGTGTGTTGCAAATATTTATTTTTCTTTTTGGGGCCAATTTTATGATGTTAAGAGTGTCCCTAAACAATAGTTACCTAAAAAGGGCAATGTTGAAAATAAATTTAAAAAAAAAAAAAATACAAAAGTAAAATGGATTCATCTCCAATCCTACTTCACTATTTTTTTATTTCTAAATTCCATTTTAGTGCAGTTTTCAAATCCAACTCCTCTGTCTCTGCTCAATGATATTTTCACAAAATAATTCAAAGCATTGGACAAAAGGATCCTAGGCTAGGAGTTGAAATAAAATAAAAGTATTTGTTTTTTGTTACACTCATGTGACACGTGCCTTGTGGTAAAAAAAAAAATACTAGAATAAAGTAGATATTTAGTACTATACGTTTTAAACACAAATCTTGTAAATTTAGTCATATACGAGTTGAAAGCAAAATCTTAGGCTACAAAAATCATCGCATACACTTCTAGTCTTGCCTAACAAAAAAAACAAGTTAAGTAATAATAATAATCCAAGTACCAAATATCACTGCATTTGCTGATGTGGCAGCTGTTGCTGTTCGTATATCTGCATGTAAGCCTCTGAAAGAGCCACCATTTGTGGAAGCGTTTCCGCCACATGAAGATCCTGCATCTCATACCTTTAAAAAAAAAAAACAAAAATATTAACAAATCAAAATAAAAATAAAAGAAATTCATATATAAATAAATAAATAAAATCAATCTACCATAGCTCTTCCGACTTGCGTTGTACAAACACCCTATAAGCACCTTCACCCGGTTTTCCATCATGAACAATGTTTGCTATTAAATCATATTTTGACCGCAGCCTTTGACTTTCTTCCTCTTTCACCGCAGGTAAAGGTATATAATCCTTCAGCTCCAAATTCTTCACAGGGAAATTAACTGACAATAGTACAATAGATATGATATAAATAACCAAACTGAAATTTGCTATTATGAGTAAAAATATATATATATATATATATATATATATATATATATATCTCACCAAGTGTTGGGTTTTTCTCCACAAAGAAATTATTTTTCGTAAAGCGGCGCATGTGTAGGATAAGATACTGTGGAAGTCGCGTCACACGATATTTCATCCTGGCTATACGAGGACGCACAACTTCTGTAACAGATTCCCCATCGAATTTCTTCAGTATATTAAAAAGTGGAACCTGAAATTTTTAATAACTCAAAAAAGTCAACAAAATGTAACGACCAATTTAAATTAAATACACCACACGAACCTGAGGAATAATGTTTTTTTCCATCACGTCTTTGAAAAGTGGGGGTGGGGGTAGATCGAGACCCAGCATCAAAAATGGCATTCTACTTTTCTCAGATACGATATTCATAGTATTGCTTTCATCTTTTACATGAATTTCTTTCACAACTTCTAACTCACCCTAGGAAAATATGTATATATTGTTATTTGAATTATAAATAAATAAATAAATGATGGAGTTTAAATTTTTGAGAACAAGTGTTTGTTACCTGAAAACATTGATGAATAATACTTTTTTTGGTTTTTGGACTTTTAAGGTCTGTGTGAAGGGTATTGAGAAGCCATGACATGAATTCAACCGGATCGGATTGTGCCCCTATACGGAAACGTTTTTTACTCGCTTTCATAACCGCTTGCAAAAATTCATGAGGACTCACCTAAATAAATAAATAAGTATTATTAAATATTAATATATAGAAAGAGTAAATTACACTTTTGGTCCCTGAGTATTAGCTTATTTTGCAATGCTGGTCCTTATTTGAGGTTCTTGTAATGTTTTTGATCCGTATTTAAAGAGAAACCTTTTTGGGACCAAAATTGAAAAAACAAATTCAGCTATACTTAAGGGACACAAATGTAATTTATAAATTTGTAGATGTGATTAAACCTGTCCTTTGAAGTTCCTTGCATGCCATATCTTCCTTGTTAGCTCACCAAAACGATGAACAAGAACAGATCTACTGTTGATGTAATTTTGAGGGATGAGGAAGAAGTTTCTCAAGGGTGTCACTCGCATTAAAGATTGAATTGTCACGTTTACAAAATCAGTCTCTTTAATATTATTAAGCCCAACCTAAATAAATAATCACAACAACATAAAATTAAAATCACAGCTGAAATTTACCCTAGATAACAGTGGTGGTTATATAGAAAAAAATTACCATTCCAGGGAGATAATCAGATCCATCAAGCGCCCTTGACCATTGTCTGTTTCTATCAAGTTGCAAAACTTGGTCTCTGCTAAACCTGTGACACCATAATCATTTCAAGATCATAACTCATAAGTATGTTGATTAAATGGAAATGAAATAAATTATAAAAAAAAAAAATGAACCTGGGGTTGAGGACATGGCGAATATCATCAAGTGAAGGGTCATTGATTTCATAACCATCAGGCAGACAATAAACTTTTTCTGTTCTGAGATTAATGTAGACATGGTGACCTGCTTCAAGGCTATGAGTATATGCATGTGACTTTTGTCCTCTTCCTTGGAAGTATTTACCACATACCAAACATGCGTACACGTTTAAATTTGATAAAGACACTGAACAGAACTTTTCAAAGTCAAAATCCAAAACCTGCAAGATAAAAATGAATTAATTTAAAAGAGAAATTGGGGTTGACCATTTATGTTAGTTACTATGATTAAAATAGCACACATAGAATTAATCAACATGGTTGTGAGAGTATTATAAACTTATAACATATAAGCCTTTAAAAGTTGAGTTGGATAGTATGTTCCCTAATAAAGAAATTGACTGAATTTAAGTTCCTCTTACTTACACTTGGCCAAGTTCAATAAAAGCACTATAGATTGCTCAAGTTCCTCTGATTTCTGATGAAAATACATGACATGAATAAAGTTTTGATACTATTGATTCATAAATATTTTTAAGGTACAGAATTGAAGACTCGTGCATATTCAGTATTAACTTTATCCATTTTCCAGTTGCCTACACAGCTTATGATACATGTCTACCACTAAAGTACTCTCATGAGTCATGATACTGATCTCTACCCTGCATAAATAATTTACTGATAATATATCAAATACCCTTCATGGTAACCTAATCTTTAACCATATCGAATTATTCATACCATTGGCAACTAGGGACTAACCTTGTATAGTTGTATAGACCTACAATTTGATATATCTAAATGCCACAGAAGCAAAATGATGCACATAAGAAGAAGAAGATAACTCTATTGATAAACCTAAATGCTGCAGATAACTTATTCCCAAACATTGGCTAGTCACAAAACCCAACACGAACCCCAAATCCTCCATACAACTCTAATGGAGCACAAGTTACCATGAGAAGGGACAAGCGGAATAGACCAAGTAAATACCTGGCGATTAACGGTATCAAGGTAGGGGCAGTCTCTACGGATTTCAATTGCCCTATTACGCCTCCCTATACCAAATCCATTATTATTCTCCTCTTCCTCGTCGTCTTCCTCCTCTTCCTCGTGGTTATTATGACCGTTTTCCTCAACTTTCTTACCATCACGCTCATCATCTTCGTCATCCTCGTCTTCGTATGTTGCAAGCGGAAGCAGAGCGTTATCAAATCCAAGTTGAGGTGGCGATGGAGAAGATACTTCGGTTAATTTCTGCTTCTTCAAGTGTTGTTCTTCACTGTCAGTGGTGTTCTCCAAATCTTGGCGCTTCGTTTTCATCACAAACGAATTTCAATCTGAAATTGCATTCTAATTAAATAACTAATGAGAACAACAGAGAGGGAAAAACAATAATACAGATCACATTCACGGTACCAATTCCAAACAACCACAACACCAATTCATAGATTTAAAAAACGCAGGAAGAATGCAGGAATAAAAATCAGATTTATACAGTTGAAGAACAGAATCGTATGGCAAATTGAAGAAAGAAAATCGAGAAGAAAAATCCCTGTTGGGGTCGAAGCTCGATACAGCAGAACAAAAAAAAAAGGATGAACGAAAGCAAAAGTAACCTGTTGGTCGAAGGTCCAAGCTCGCCGGTAGTTGTGGTGTGGGCGCTTGAACACCCTCTCAATACCTTCTTCACGCTGGAAGTTTTCTCCTGATAGATTCTAGGGCTTTGTTTCTTTTCGTTTTGCCTGAGAGGTGTCTTTAGCTTCAATCTAGAAGCATCGTAATGAACCCTCAACTTATAAATAATGGCACTTTGGCCCTTATGATTTATGATATCAATTTTGCAATTAAATGTTAACGACCCTTCATTTATTTGAAGAAGATTTTATAGAATCATATCCATTATCTTCTTTAATAAATAAAAGTTTTTTTTACCATTTGTCAAATTTTCATTCATTTTGCCACATATCATTTTGTGGTTATTTTAAATTAATTTTTATTCTATATGTAATTTTATGGTTTTCCTATTTTATTAAATTTCATATGGTATTTAAATTTAATAATAAATGTATATCAATTTCATTAATGGACTTTTCTTATAATTTTAAAATTTCAAAATAAAATCTCATTAATTTGCTTTGATTATTTTATCTAAATGATTTGTTTAAATTTAAAAGAGAAAAAAAAAACACTTTAATTTTAATAATTCAATATTTTTCTTATTTTTCTTATAAATTCAAATTTGTCAAATGTTTATACATATTTAATTATTTTAAATACACTCATGTAATATATGGAGCTCACACCTAGTATATCTTATAACAAAGGTCACTTATTATTATTATAAAAGGTAGGAGGCAATTTAATTTCACTAATTTTATATCTGAAATCATTTGAAACATTTGGAGCTAATAAAACTCTATAATAATGGATAATTGGTTAATTAATGTGTGATATTAACTTTAGTGGTTGTTACTTTAATTATTATATTTCAGTTTCGTTTAATAACTTTTTATGACGACCCCTTAACAATTGTTTAACCATTATATTTCAACTTTATTTAATTATATAAAATGTTAATATTTTATTGAAATTCTTGTGATAGCATTTTCTTTATGAGTTGGTATAATATAATATATTAAAGAGATATATATTAAATGTTAAGTTGTTTTTTCTTATTTAATAATAGACTACGGATTCGAACATTGTTAGACACGTAAAGTCGTAAATGGTGACGATAATAACTCTTCATATTAAAACAAAATACATTGATACTGAAAATATTATTTTATTAGAGAAGTTGAATTGATAAAAAATAGAAAACATCGTTATATTTTTAACAATAACAAGATTAACATTTGTTTGTATGAAAATATGTTAGAAAAATGAAAACATATTTGAGCACTAACCCATCATCAATCTTGTTTTATATTAAAGTCAAAATCTCTAACTAATGGTTTCCACTTGAACATTGCAAATTATTTGGTATTTATTCCAATAAAATTCTAATTAATTAGTTTGGTCAGTAACTACTAATGATGGTTGTCTTCATAAAAGAAATTGTAAGATTTAAATTTGAAAAAGAAAATGTAAAACACAATGGATTTATTGATTACAAATATAATCAATAAAAGCTACATTATTCATTTTACATAAATTACATTTCAATTCATTCGTTAGATTTTGAAACCATACCAAAAAAAAAAGGTTGCTATTTCTCACGATTAACCCTTTTTAATATAATATCCTACTTGTATTGATTTGTTTATATAAAAATCTACCAATTATAGAACACATTATCTATATACAAAACAAAATACTCATTGTTCTAAATGGATAGATTTTCTAAAGTATAATATCCTAAAACTGTTACTCCTTAGTGATCTATACAGATGTTGTTGATAGAAGAAACTCGGGCTGCAATCTTTGCAGCAATACCCCACAAAATGGACAAAGTGGTTTCAACAATATTTCTCCATTTTGAAAAGTCAAAGACCTTTTCTCAAAGTCAACTGTTGGAGGGTGTTTGGTCAACTTAAAAAGACTCTCAGGGGCAAAATTTGATACCCATCTTTTACAAGATACACAAAACCATAATGGAGTAAGAGGGCACACAACCATGGAAACTGCACATCTTGCAACTTTATGATTCTCAACTTTGCAAAATCCAACTTCTGTATCCTCAAATGGAACTGATGATGAACAGTAGCTACATTCCTCTTCTCCTACATATCTGTGTACAAAATACAATAAAAGAAAACCTGTATAATAGAATTTAAACTTATTTGTTTACATAAATATATGACATTTAGTATACCTTTTCTCAATCTTTTTAACTTTAGAAGCAAGGAGCTTGACATAATCTTTAACCACATGGTCGTTATTAGCAACCCATGATCTCATCTGTGCCAATCCAACCGGATGTAAATTACCATTATACCCTTTAAGTGTGGCTGAAAAGCTACAACCAACGAGTCTTTCTCGAAGTTCTTTTTCACTCATTTCGAGAATCTTTATCCAAAATTTCGAGTCTTGTTCACCGTTGTTGTTATCTAACTCTGCTTCTCTTAAAAGCACATGTCTGTTAATAACATTGAGCAGATGCAACTGGCGTGAGGTTAAGTTTGAGAGATGTGTATTGACACGTGGCAAAATGATTCCAGGTGGGCCCCACTCAAATTTAAGATTTGAAATCAGCCATTTGACCAGTATTTGTTCTACATAGTTGGGTTGTGAATCTTTGAAAGCTGATAATGCTGCTATCATGTCCCATAAAACCAAAGGCTTGTGAAGATTTTCATATTGATTTAAAGACCATAATATGTTTTGACCCCAGTTGACCAAATCCATATTGGGAAAACCAGGGAAATTTTCATCATCAGATTCTTCATCTTTTAAAATTCCTAGGTTTTGTCCACCAATCCAGAAGAACTCAACAGCAGCCTTCTGTGACCTGAGGATATAAAATATTTCATTTTATAGAAAATACATCATATCAAAAATGCAAATTTGAATGAAGAATATATTATATACTTACCTTGCCTCATACATTGGATTCAACAGATTCACATCAAAGCTTCGAACCTGAAATTTTTTGAGAAAATTTTCGTATTGATTTACAAATTTATATTCTTTTTGAGATTCACATTTTAAGGAGAATGAATCATATAATATCATACCACAGCAACCACAAGATTAGCAGGGGATACTGCTATGCCAAAACATGCATCAGACACATTAGGGACCTATCAAAAGATTTAAGGTCTAGTCAATATATTTGACTAATAGTCAACTCAAACCATTTCGTTTCTTTTTTTTTTTTTTTTTTTGGACAAAAAAAAGTAATAAAAATAATCATACATCCGTGAAGGTCTTAACACCAAGAATATTTGGAGGTAAAGCAACTCTATGGAGGGAATCTCCTTTTATGATCCAGCTATGCAAAGAATTATCCTGTGAAAAAAAAATTAAAAAAGAAAAAAAAAAGAATTTAACGATTACATATGATATTCTATATAGTTTATTCATAATCCAATTAAGTATACCTGGCTACAACTGTACAAGCAGTGTCCATCATAAGCCCAAGCCAAACCCGTAACCTGAAAAGAAAATAAAAAATAAAACCACGATGTAATAATTATATTAAAAAAAATATATAGTTAAAAAGAAAGCTTACAATTTGGTCATGGCCAGAAAGTGGAGCAATTACATCAAATTTGTCAATCAAAGTGTCATAAATCCATACTTGTAAAGATCCAGAGCCTTTCCCAACAGCTAGGAGTATCTTTTGTGGAGAAGCTTCCGGAACAATTAGTGAAAGTACAGATGTGGGGCCCGATCCAATGTTTATAACCTACTTAATTTCAAAATATATATATATATATATATATATATATATATATATATATATATATATATATTACATGGTGCTCATAAAAGTCTATTATTATAGCTCAAAAAAATACCAACATCTTTCAACAATGAAAATGCAGCATCACCATCTTCAGTTGACTTCGCCAGGTCATCAGTATATCCCCGCCAAATTTTCACACTGAAATTTCAAAAAAAAAAAATTGAAAAAAAAAAAAAATCTTGAATTTTGTCATACAAAAATATAAATGCCAACTCACCTCCCATCAGAACATCCTGTAGACAAAAGAAGCTGAGAGTCAAACTTTGACCAACTGATTGCTGTAATCCACGAATCATGTGCTTGGATTAATCCAATCAGCAAAGCGCCAGGTGGCTTGCTTCGTTGTGTGATGGAGTAACATTGTGGTTCATAGACTCTCCAAAATGAGATATTTCCACTTTTACCCCCGATGGCAAGTATAGAGCATCCCTCTGATGAGGTGTCACCATGAAACATAGGAGACCAAGAAACCACAAGAGATGAAAGCATTGCACTACGAGAAGCATACTGTTGTGCACTTATGGAAGGGCGTTTATGGTATTCTAGTAAATTTTGTCTTCTGTCTTTGCTTCTGATTAATAATTTAGATATTGGCATATCATCACTGTATTCTATAAATGGAATATCAGAATCAGACTCACCATATCTGATTTTTTCAAAATAAGTATGTAACATTTCAGATACATCAAGAACCTACACATAAAAACATGAAACTATTAAAAGTAATACAAATTTATAAATTATAATAACTTATAGGTATTAAGTGCATACCTCTACCCACTCTGAAGAAAATTCACGAAATGGGGAGTGGTAAACTTTGACTACCCCTTCAGTTGTGCAAACAGCAAGCAGACACCTATCCACAAGTAAAAAAGTTTTATTATAAAAATAAAAAATAAAGTCACCTTTTAATCAAAATTAATACCCAGAATTTGGAGCTAATCCAAGTGGAGACCAAGATATTGATCTTACACAAGGGCGAATGTCACGAGACAAACAAATAGGCAACATACAACCAGAGAGCAAATCTGTGAAAGTTAAAAAGATTATCATCAAAGTAATAATTAATAAATAAACATAATGAAAAATTTTACATACTAACAATTCACAAGCACCTTTTCTTTCTATAACACCAAATGAAAAAGGTTTGCTGGTGGGGATTGTGATTAAACCTTTAGGTCCAGATGGCATAGCAGGATTCTAAAAGATTTATAAAGTAAAGATTATAAGGTGTTAAATTATAATGAAAATGTCATGATAATGAAGAAATTTACCAAGATGGTGACCAAGTGTCCAGAGGCAACTGCAACTAGGTTTTCGTTTGACCATGAAATTGCATTTGGGTATGTAGGTGAAGCAACAAGTGCCACTGCCTGAAACCTTGAAGCCATTACTGAATACTGATTGCAGCTAAAACAAGAATTTTGGTCCTTGAATCTTGATAAGCTTATCTGGTGTCAAAACGCTATAAGTGTAAAATTACCAAAAAGGGTTTCCTTGATAATTGAAGCGCAAACACATACACAAATCAAAATAATCGACAGCAACACAGGATTCAGATCATATTTTTCAGTTCCAATTCAAATTAGTAGCAATTGCAGCACAAAAAATAAAACACAACAGATCAACAAAAATTCTGTCCTATAATATACATCAGATTCTAACAGAAGGTTTCCAATTTTTTTTTTTTTTTGTAAAATGCTTCAGTTAATTCCATTGATATACATCTTCTGTCCTTTAACTCAAAAGTCAAAAGATTGATAACATTGTATGTGCTGGGGAACAAAAGGAAGTGAAATCACATAAAAAAATCGACATCAACAAAAACAAGCCGCGATTTTTGGAGTTCCAATTCTATCATACAGCAGAAAACAAGGGGGAAAAAACGAATGCAGAAACACGAACCTTTGTGGGGTCGAAGGTCGCCGGTGCTGCTGTGGGCTGTGACGATCTCCGGCCGATGGGGAGGAGATGGCTAACGGCGGTGCTTCACAGGGGACGGCTTGAGGAGGCAAATCGAGAGCAGCATATGTTTGAGGTGTACGATTATTTGAGTCAGTAAGGTGTAGGGTAAGGGTATATTTGTCAACTTCTTTTGAATGGTGAAATAATAAGCAGATTTGATAAGAAAGGGGTAATTTACTTATCAAAAAATAAGTTGTTTTTGAAAAAAAAAAAAAAAAATTATATAAACATTTTTTTGAAAGAGTAAATTACATGAATAGTCCCTATGGTTTATGGTAATTTACATGTTTGGTCTCTAACTTATTTTTTAACTCGGAAGGTTCTTACTTTTTGTTTTTGTTACGCGCTTGGTCCCTGATTTACCTAAAAAAACTATTTTGCCTTTGATTTTTTGATTTATTTAAATAAGCACATCCCGAATCTCACACTCTTCATCTTATCTTACCTACCCCACTATTTTTACCTATTTAAATAAAAGTCTTTTTAGCTAAGATAAGGACCAAACGTATAACAAAAACAAACAGTATGGACCAAGTGTGTAACAAAAACAAACAGTAGGTACCTTCCAAGTTAAAAAAATTAATTAGGGACCAAACGTGCAAATTACCCCAAACCATAGGGACCATTCGTGTAATTTACTCTTTTTGGAATTATATTGGTATGGAATGGGTAATTAGTTAAAAAGTCATTTTTATAAGCGTTGCTAAACACCCTCTTAATAGGTTTCGGTATCAATATTTTAAAAACCAATTATCCTTTTAAGGAAATTAACATATATAATTAATTGTATTAACCATGGTTGTAAATAACGTAAGCTGTGATTTTTCGATCAAATCTTACAACACATGACGAGGCATTGATATTTTTCAATACGTGACAATATATATATATATATATATATATATATATATATATATATATATATATATATATATATATAAACACATACGATCATCCAATTATATAAACAAGTCATATGTTAACAAAAACCGAATGTTTTCACAATATACATTTAATCTAACATATAGTCATCGATTTAAAATTACACTAAAAATTTACAAAAGTGTCATCTTTCAAAAAAGTCGGTGAACATTACAAAAACATATTATACCCTTAGATCAAATCCAAGGATGAACAAAAACCCCTCTTTGTGATCACAAAGGTTCACCCATGAAGACTTCGAGTTACTCACAAAGCATGTCGGAACCTCGGCTTCATAGGAGGCCAATAAAAAATGTGTTACACAAAAAATTGTGTTCTTACCAAGTTATTTGGACGTCAAGCTTTACACAGCCACCTAGGTTGTTTTCGGGACATATACACTACGCCTCGACGCCATGATGCGTTATTTAGAACCTGAATATTAACTAAAAATTTATTTTTCCTTTTAATTATTTTTTATTACATAATACATATTTATTAGTTATCATTATTCATCAACGCCCTCCAAATTACTTATCATATTAAAGGGCTTTTTGACGACATTTAAATCGTTCATATGTGTGAATGATTTAGTAGCTCTAAATATATGTCTCTTAACAATAAAAATTAAAAATGTTTAGTTAGATATTTAAATTGTTGTATTGTACGATAAAATTGCTATTTTATCTTTATGAACTATTATTTTCCTAAATAGAATGTTCATGTTTTATAAAATATCTTAAACAAATTGTTGAATAATTATAAAATATAACACATCATAAGAAATCCAAATTAAACATTGATGTTCCATGCCAAAACATGATTACAAAAGCCAAACAATATAAGATGTTCAAAGATAACTTGTGTGATCAATTTGTGTATGGGATTTTTTTTTACACGTCACTCTATTAAACACAAATCTGATATACTTAAACTAATCATTCACATTAGTAAATTATTACTTACATTGTTTTCTGAAAAGGTAATTTTTTTTTCAAGGATTTTTTTTACACATCATTCTATTAAACATCAATTTAATATACCTAAGTTATCATTTTCATTAGTAAAATTATTAGTTACATTGTTGTCTATTTTTTTTCTTTCTCTCTCTCTCTCTCTCTCTCTCTCTCTATATATATATATATATATATATATATATATATATATATAAAGAGAGAGAGAAAAAAGGGGAAAAAATCAGAAAACAATGTAAAGGCTTTCGGCCTTAAGGAGGTAATAACTAAGCAACAAGCTTTTACATTGTTTATTGTAACAATGTAACATGCATGGAGAATAACTAAGCAACAAGCTTCATTTTCTCAGTAAAGCGTGCAGCGTATTCAGTAACGCTCATTCTTCCCTTCTTCAGATTCTGGAACTCGTTGTTGATCTCCAGAATATCCTACTCAGAGCAGTATTGCATTTTCAACTGTACCAGAAAATCCTCCCACGACATCTTGCTTGCTTCACCTTTGGGCATTGAATCAGCTAGTAGCTTCCACCAGCTTAGTACTCCAGATTTCAACAGAGGAACCGCGAGAGCGGTCTTCTGCCTGTTGCTACACTCGCAACTCTCAAACATCATCTCCATCTCAGAGATCCAGTTCATGACTTCCACCGGCGTCGGGCTTCCGGATAGACTCGGTGGTTTGGATGCCATGAAATCCTTGTATTTGCATCCACGTCCATCATTTCCTCCATCCTGATGGTTTTGCCTAACTATCGGTGGGTTGGCTTGACCAACAGTCCCACTATAGTTTCCTTCCTCAGTCTGCCTATCGTTCAACTCGGGTTGTTCGATTTGAATAGTCGCTTCCTCTCGATTTTGCTGGAGCAAACGCATGGTTTCCTCCATTTGACGATCCAACATCGCCTGGATCATCGCTTGCACTCCGGCCATCGTTATTGGCCTAGCAGCGGCTTCCACAATTGGTATTTGCTCAATCACTGGGGGTTGGTTTCTGTTCCCATTTGCGTTCACGTTTCCGCTATGGGTCCTTTCCATCTTGATCTATACACCGAATAAGGTGAATTTAGATCTTTATTTAGGGCTGATGTTCAAATCATCCTTATCTCTCTGAAACATTTACATGCTAGTTCTAATATCGTAGTCGTACGTTTAGAATCCTAAACACATAAAGTTTCCAGATCTGGTCGGCAACAAACCATAGATCCGAACAAATAACAGCATATCAGGCACAAAGCATTTAGCACATAAAATCATTTTAGGAATAATTCCTAAAATAAGCTAGTGCTCACACCTCACAATCATTGCTTAGATTTCTAAGTTTAAGTCTAGAAATCCTACAAATTCCTAGTTCGCTTAAACTAATGCTCTGATACCAATTGTGACATCCCCAAAATCACGGCCAAAAAAGACTGGTTTTGTTTATACTTTATTTCAAAATCAGAGTAACCTTTTACTAAAAGAGTTGTAGAATTTGTCCCAAAACAATAATATGATAAAGAGTTATCAAAAGCATTTCCTTAGAAATGTATTTCATTAAAAGACTCGGGATGTCATGTTCGATATAGTACATAAGTATAAATAATACAATATAAGCCTTACTACATTATTTCATATTTACAGGCCTATATCCGTAATCCCTCATCCCAACACATCACAACTATGTTCGAGCGCCACTACCTGTAATACATAAAACTGAGTGGGTCAGGCTTGGGAGCCTGGTGAGCACATAGGGTTTTCAACCCACAATAAATAAGTTTATTAATTTCATCGACCAACAATAATCCGATTACCCATTCCCATTATCCTCGCATTACGTCCCTAAACACCTATCATAAGGGACCTATCCTAAGGATCATCATCGGGATGGACACTACTGCTAAGGGGGTTCCTCAGCAATAAATGTCCTAAAGGCAACCATGAGGGGGATGGAGTACACTGGTGAACACATCGTTCACAAACACCTACAGGTTGCGAGCCTGTCAGCGTTCCACTAGACTGTCTCGAAGAGTCCGTGGTCATCATCTATACTCCGCTAGATGACTGGATCAATAATAACAACATCGAGGCCTCTCATCATTTTATCACGCATCGTCTTATTACATCTACCCATGTTTTAACCCAATATTTTTGTAGATATAAAATACATATAAAATTTAAATCATTTAAAACTTGTATAAAAACATTCATCCAGTATAGATAGCAAGTATACAAATAATATGCACACATAGCACGAAATATATAAAATACTTCATATCTATGTGTAAGATGAAAGTAATTATGCACTCACCTGAAAAGGTGGTGTTTCCGAACTCAGACAGTGTTTCGCTTCTTAAAAATAATTTCCTTCGACGAAACCTAGTATTATTACCACTTGAGTTTAGTATATTATTCGCCGAGACTAATTAATAGTCTAGCTATTATTACTATTATATAAGCATTAAAAAAATACTTATATAACACATAATAATTGTAACGCCCGGGTTTCAGGGCTGAGCATTTTTGTCAATATAATAGTCGAGGTCAACTCTTGTAACTCTTTTTGAAGTAATAAAGATGAAATATTGAGTATTATGTGAATTATGTGTGTTTATGTGTTTATTATTTAATTATAAATGTATAATTAATAAAGAATAAAAAATGAGCGTCAAAATTAAAGTGTGAGATAATCCCGATATCTCTAAATAAAGTTGTAGAATATGTCTCAAGGTTTCCGTACATATAAAGAATGTCGAAATCCGAGTTATAACGAAGAAGTTATGGCCCGCCAAAGTTTTACGGCAAAACCGGCACGACACCGGGAGACGTAAATAGTGAACTTATGATGAATGGATTTTTAGCCTTAGTGATCTAAACCAAAGTTTTAGTATATGTTAAACCGAGAACATCCATAAAAAGAACGCCCAAATCTGACTTCGTATGAGGAAGTTATGATTTTTCTAAGATTCGACTTAGCAGTGCACGGCCCGAAACTCGAATTTTAGTTCGAGCGGTTTTTGGCTTACGCAACCTAAATGAGAGTTGAATATCTCATTAATAGGAAAACAACGGTAAAAAGACAGACGAAAACAGAGTCCGTATGTAGAAGTTATGAATTTTACGCGGACGTTTAACAGTATAATCTCATTGTACTGTTAAATTTAAGATCGGTCGAGAATTAGCCGATAGAGTCAAAATGAAAGTTGTAGATCTTATTATTACCTACGCGTGGATATAAAGAACGTCAAAAACGGAGGTCGTATGTGAAAGTTACGGATTTTAGAAGTCGGAAGTGTGCTGTGCGAAAATGGGTGATGTAGCACAATCTTGGCCATTGCTTTCTCCCCAAGGCTTGCCACCAGATGGTGACATTTGGCACCAAGTTCAGCCACATTTCACCCTATAAATACCACCTCTTCCACCCTCATTTTCTTCACACCTTTCTCATTCTTTCTTCTCTTTACTCTCTCTCTCTCTCTAAAACCTCTCTCTAGCCCCGAAATCCCCCAAAAAGCCTAGGGAACCTCCCTAGCACGAGGCGGAAGCCCCGGAGTGCTCGAAGGCTCCGAGAAGAAGAGATTTTCGGCTCGGGAACGCTGCTCCAAGCAAATCCTGGTTTTCTATAAAACCCGCTGTAAGTGAGCTACGCCTACGCTATTTTTAATATAGCTTTTATTTAATTATAATAACGTTATTAGGAACTTATAATAAATACTTTGGCTATTATTATGGGTTATATAAGTATTTTTTGACGCTTATACAATAATAATAATAGCTAGACTATTAATTAGTCTCGACGAATAATAAACTAAACTCTAGTGGTAATAATACTAGGTTTCGTCGAAGAAAATTCTTTTTAAGAAACGAAGCGCTGTCTGAGTTCGGAATCACCACATTTTCAGGTGAGTGCATAGTTAGTTTCATCTTACACATATATATGAAGTATTTTATATATTACGTGCTATGTGTGCATATTATCTGTATACTTGT